AACCTTCCTGCTGTGAATCTTGAAAACGATTCGTGTGGTAAAATGTTCTCTCAGGAGTCATAAAACCCCCTGCAAACTTCTCCCCTTCCTCTTTGCAGAGATGGATCGGGCCATGGGAGGGGGATTTGAGAGGGAGTTTGGAAGAAATGAGATGGGAATGTCCCGGAGTTTCGGAGAGACCCTGGAGAGGGGAATAGGTGAGTGCAGTAAATGAAATGCATTTCCTGCCTGCTTTTCATCCCTGAACTGCTCACAAAAATGATGGGGGGGTGGGTGTGATACAGATAAAAAAAGCAGATTTCAGATTTGCTCGAGGAATTTGCTGTCTGGCTTTTAAATGCTGCCAGGAAGTTGTTAATTTTTGTCAGTGAAAACAAAATCTTGCTTCTCCCGCTGTCTGTATCACATTTAACTTCCAAGCATGTTCCCTGGAAATATTGTACAATGTCAGTAATGAAACTGCAGAATTTCTGGAGCAAAATTGAACCCAAACATCTCTGAGCAGGCAGAGCTCCCCCATCAATTTCCAGATTTAATTTGGTTTAATGACCAAATCGCAACATTCCAGAATCAAGGGATCCATTCCCTGAGTCCTGTCCCTCCATCCCTTGTCCCAAGTCCTTCCCCAGCTCTCCTGGAGCCCTACAGGCCCTGGAAGAGGCTCTTGAGCTCTCTCTGGAGCCTTCTCTTTTCTAGGTGAGCACCCCCAGCTCTCCCAGAGCTCCAGAGGGGCTCCAGCCCTGGGAGCAGCTCTGGGTTCTCCTCTGGACTCTCTCCAGCATCTCCATGTCCTTATTTTGGGGTCCTAGGGCTGGGGCAGCTCTGCAGGGGTGGTCTGACCTGAGCAGCTGAGTTTGCCTCATCCTGCAAGCCCAAAGCTCCGGGCTGGGGCAGCTGGGAATTCACTCAGCAGAGCGAGCAGCCGCCCAGCTCTGCGCGTCCCTGCCCGGCTGCTGATGCTGTCTGTGCTGTGTTGCAGGTGGTGGCAACGCCAGCATTCCTGGCATCGAGAGGATGGCCCCTGGCATCGATCGGATGGGCTCGGGGATCGAGCGGATCCCGGCCGGGATGGGGCACGGGATGGAGCGGGTGGGCTCGGAGATAGACAGGATGGGGCTGGTGCTGGACCGCATGGGCTCCAACGTGGAGAGGATGGGCTCGGGCATGGAGCGCATGGCCCCGCTGGGCATCGACCACCTGGCCCCCAACCTGGAGCGCATGGGGCCGGGCATCGAGCGCATGGGGCCGGGCATCGAGCGCATGGGCTCCGGCATCGGCTTCGGCATTGAGCGCATGGGCGCCGCCATCGAGCGCGTGGGCGGCGCCATGGACAGGATGGGCTCGGGCGTGGAGCGCATGGGGGCGGGCATGGATAGGATGGGCATCGGCCTGGAGCGCATGGTGCCCGCCGGCATGGGCACCGGCATGGGGCAGGTGATAGAGAGGATGCCCGCGGGGCTGGAGCGCATCGGGGGCCCGCCCATGGACAGGATCGGGATAGAGAGGATGGGAGCCGCCCCCATGGACAGGATGGGCCTGGAGCGCATCGGGGCCACCAACATGGAGAGGATGGGGCCGCCCATGGGGCAGGGCATGGGGGCAGGGATGGAGCGCATGGGGCTGGCCATGGGCAGCAACTTTGAGCGGCCCATGGACATGGAGCGGGGCAACTTCGCAGGGAATTTTGCAGGGTCCCTGGGAGGAGCCGGAGGCCCTGCGCCCGGCGTGGCCCGGAAAGCCTGTCAGATATTTGTGAGAAATGTGAGTGCCCCTTTTTCCTTTTCCTGCTGCCCCCTTATCCCACTCCTGCCCTTTCCCACTCCTCCCTTCCCACCTGTGGCATTCATTGTCACTGATGTGTTGATCTCACCCATGCTTGGTTTCCAATCACAATGTCTAATACTGGATGCTGCCAAATTCTGGGGGGAGTTGGAACCATTTTCTCACCAGAAGAACTCCTGGCTGAGAGTGATCCATGGTTTTATGGCAGTGGCTGTCCTGGGGCGTTTTTTTGGGGTTTTGCAGAGCTGCCTGCAGGTTGTTCAGCAGAGCCTCAATAATGGTTTATTCTTCTCATCCCACAGCTGCCTTTTGATTTTACATGGAAAATGCTGAAAGATAAATTCAATGAATGTGGTGAGTTGTTTTCCTCACTCTGAGGAATGAGTATGAATAATGGCCAGATAATAACCCAGAGGGCAGGGTCAGATGGGATATTGGGAAAGAATTCCTGGCTGGGAGGGTGGGGAGGCACTGGAATGGATTTCCCAGAGAAGCCGTGGCTTTCACTGCAAGTGTCACTGGAAGTGTCCACAGCTGGGCTGGATGGGACTTAGTGGGAGGGGTCCCTGGGTGGCACTGGATGCTCTTTAAGGTCCCTCCTAGCCCAGACCATTCCATGATTCCATGGGAACCAAGCCCAGCCTTGGGTGTGAGGTGGAGCTTGCGCTGGGATAAATCCACTTCCTGTCAAACAATCCCTGAGCCAGCTCCTCCCAGAGCTCTGAGTGCCACAGCCAGGGTGGGGAGCAGTCCTTGGGATGGAGAATTGGGATGGGATGGAGAGTGGCACAGCCAGGGTGGAGAGCAGACTTAGGGATGGAGAGTGGGGATTGGATGGAGAGTGCCAGGGCCAAGGGGAACAGTCCGTGGGATGGAGAATGGGGAGTGCAAAAACCAGGGTGGGGAGCAGTCCTTGGGATGGAGAATTGGGATTGGATGGAGAGTGCCAGAGCCAAGGGAAACAGTCCGTGGGATGGAGAATGGGGAGTGCCAGAGCTGGGGTGAGGAGCAGTCCTTGGGTGGAGAATTGGGATTGGATGGGAGTGCTAAAGCCGGGATGGGGAGCAGTCCTTGGGATGGAGAGCAGGGACTGGATGGAGAGTGCCAAAGCCGGGATGGGAAGCAGCCTGGGAATGGAGAATGGGGCCTGAGTGGAGAGTGCCAAAGCTGGGATTGGAAGCAGCCTGGGGATGGAGAATGGGGCCTGAGTGGAGAGTGCCAAAGCCGGGATGGGAAGCAGCCTGGGGATGGAGAATGGGGAGTGCCAAAGCTGGGGTGGAGAGCAGCCCTTGGGATGGAGAATTGGGGTTGGATGGAGAGTGCCAAAGCCGGGATGGGAAGCAGCCTGGGCATGGAGAATCAGGATTGGATGGAAAGCAGCCTGGGCATGGAGAATCAGGATTGGATGGAAAGCAGCCTGGGCATGGAGAACGGGGCCTGGGTGGGGCGTGGCTCACCCTGCTGTGCCCGCAGGCCACGTGCTCTACGCCGACATCAAGATGGAGAACGGCAAGTCCAAGGGCTGCGGCGTGGTGCGGTTCGAGTCGCCCGAGGTGGCGGAGCGCGCGTGCCGCATGATGAACGGGCTGCAGCTGCGCGGCCGCGAGATCGACGTGCGGATCGACCGCAACGCCTAGGCGCCGCTGCAGGGCTGCACCGCTGCAGGGCTGCATCACTGCAGGGCTGCACCGCTGCAGGGCCACGCCACTGCAGGGCGGTGCCGCTGCAGGGCTGCACTGCTGCAGGGCCGCACTGCTGCAGGGCTGCATCACTGCAGGGCCGCACCACTGCAGGGCTGCATCACTGCAGGGCCGCACCGCTGCAGGGCTGCACTGCTGCAGGGCTGCATCACTGCAGGGCCGTGCCACTGCAGGGCTGCACCGCTGCAGGACTGCGCCGCTGCAGGGCTGTGCCTCTGCCCCTTCGCCGCCTCCTCCGACTGGATGTAAAGCTGTTCAGCCCAACCCGGTTGCTTTCTGGAGTAATTTTAAGTCCTTTTTTTAACCGAGGGAGAGCCCCATTTTACTGGTTTTTTGCATTGGAACTGCCATGTGCACAATCTTTTTTTGTAGTTGTGGCATCTCGTTGACCTGACAGATGTAAACAGTCTGACTTTGATAATAAATGCCCATTCAATATTTTCAGTTGCAGCATCCTTTACTCCGCTTCAAATCCCTGCCAGCTCAGCTCAGCAAAGTCCAGTTTGTCAAAAACAAAAAAAAAATCCAGTGTTCTCCTGATTTCTGACAGAACCTCTTTAAGATGTGTCCAAGGGTGCAGGATCTTCTCTCCTGTGTCCCACCTAATCCATGGGCAATCCCAGCTCAAGGTTTTTCTCTAGTGGCAATGCTGGTTTTAAAAAATCTCCCCTGGGTTGTGTTAATGCCACGGAGAAGGCCTGGGCTGCAAATGGGGTTAAAAATCTCTTTTTTTTCTTTCCTGTGGGGGTGTCTGCCCCAGGCGGGTAAGGGACACTTGGTGCAGGTGCAGTGGAGATTTCCTTTTCCTGCAGGAAACGCTTTTAACGTAAACGGATCAGGTGTGGGGCATGGGGGAGACCCGGGGCGTTCCCGGTGGGGCTGGGGAGGGTAGGGGATAGCCCCGGTGGGGCCAGGCCGGGTCCGGGACAGCCCCGGGGGTCCCGGGGGGGGTGTCCGGGACAGCTCCGGGGGTCCCGGTGGGGCCGGGGAGGGTCCGGGACAGCCCCGAATGGTGCCGGGGAGGGTCCGGGACAGCCCCGGGGGTCCCGGTGGGGTCGGGGAGGGTCCAGGACAGCCCCGAATGGTCCCGGGGAGGGTCCGGGACAGCCCCGAATGGTCCCGGGGAGAGTCCGGGACAGCCCCGAATTGGGCCCGGTGAGGGTCCAGGACAGCCCCGGGGGTCCCGGTGGGGCCGGGGAGGGTCCGGGACAGCCCCGGGGGTCCCGGTGGGGCCGGGGAGGGTCCGGGGCAGTCCCGAATGGTCCCGAGGAGGGTCCGGGACAGCCCCGAATGGTCCCGGGGAGGGTCCGGGACAGTCCCGGGGGTCCCGGTGGGACCGGGGAGGGTCCGGGACAGCCCCGGGGGTCCCGGTGGGGCCGGGAAAGGTCCGGGACAGCCCCGGGGGTCCCGGTGGGGCCGGGGAGGGTCCGGGACAG